AAAAAAAAAAAAAAAAAAGCTATGGCTAATGGAGTGAGAAGAAGAGGAGGAGAAGGAAAAGGTAACGAAAAAGAGGGGAGAGAAGAAGAAAATGACGAAGAAGAGGGGAAAGAAGAAGAGGAGGAGGAGGAGGGAGAAGAAGAAGAAGAACGCAAGGGAGTTGAAGGGTTCAAGCAGCAACGAAAAAAAAATAAAAAAATTAACGGCTATGGCTAACGGGGGACGAGGAGAAGAAGAGGTGGAGGAGGAGGGAGAAGAAGAAGAAAATGACGAAGAAGAGGGAGGAGAAGAATAAGAGGAGGGGGAGGAGGAAGAAGAAAATAGCGAAGAAGAGGGGAGAGAAGAAGAGGAGGAGGAGGAGGGAGAAGAAGAAGAAGAAGAAAGCAATGGAGTTGATGGCTTTAAGCAGCAGCAAAAAAAAAAAAAAAAAAAAAAAACCCGGCTATGGCTAACAGATGAGGAGAAGAAGAGGAGGAGGAGGAGGAGGGGGAAGAAGAAGAAGATGACGAAGAAGACAGAGGAGAAGAGGAAGAAGAGGAGGAGGAGGAAGAAGAAAATGACGAAGAAGAGGGGAGAGAAGAAGAGGAGGAGGAGGAAGAAGAAGAAAATGAGGAAGAAGAGAAAGGAGAAGAAGAAGAGGAGGAGGAGGAGGGGGAAGAGGAGGAGGAGGAGGAGGAAGAAGAAGAAGAAGAAGAATGCAAGTCGATGGCTAAGAGAGGAGGAGGACTAGAAGAGGAGGAGGAGGAGGTAGAAGAAGAAGAAGAAGAAGAAGAAGAAGAAAAAGCGGAGGACGACTATGGCTAACGGGCGAGGAGAGTGACCACAGAGAAGAAGACGAAGAAGAAGAAGAAACAAACCTGGGGCCTGGGAGTGATGGAGTGGCTCGTCGGTGGGGGATGCAATGGCGCGGCTGGCTGGCGGAGGCGACGATGGCGATGATGCACCTTACAGAGATCTACCTACAATGGCGAGGTTGCACCGAGTGATGGCGAGGTTGGCTGGCAGTGGTGACACGGCTGGTTGTCCGAGGCGACGACGGAGCGGCTGCACAGATTGGAGGTGAGCAGGGTTGAACGCGTGATGCGTTTTTCCCTGCTGAGCGAATTCGGTTTTCCGCCAGAAGTGATTCAAAACAGTGGCCGATCTTTGTCGCTGATCTGCAACGATCGGTGGCCAGGATTGACCACTTTTTGAACTTCGAAAAATGGGGCCTACAGGACCCGGTTTCCTAATTGCGGGGTAAGGCCCGCCTCCACGAGGCCTCCGCAACACAATTGCGCCGCCCTAAAAAAAAATTCAAGCCCCAGCGAAAAAGCGCTGGGGGCGACCGGGAGGGAACCAACCCGGGCCGGTCCAACCGGGAGGACCGCGGATGGGGTAGGGGTCCCCGGTCCATCCGGGGACCAGCCCTGATTGGAGAACCAAAAATTTATGATGGGGAGAAGGGGGGACGAAATTTTAGGAAATGTTGATGATGAATCGATGATGAACTGCACCCTAAAGATGATGATGACGATGACCGTGACGAACAACTCACCTGAAGATGATGAAAATGACGACAACCAGCATTGTGAAGAACAACGTCCTATGATGCCGAACGAATCACAATGATGATAATGATGGGCAGCACCAACAGTGCCCTAACATGACAAAATGATGATGATGATGATGATGATGATAGTAACGAGTGGCGCCAAAAGTGCCCTACAATGGCGAAACAGATGATGATGATGATGATGATGATGATGATGATGATGATGATGATGATGATGGTGATGATAATGACGAGCAGCCCCCACAACGCCCTATGAAGACAAACTGATGGTGATCATAATAATGACGAGAAGCGCCAACAACGCCCAATGATGATGTACTAATGAAGATGATGAGACTAGCACACAGCGCCCTGATGACAAGCAGAGCCCCTGATGACCCCCGCCCTGATAATCATGACGAACAACACCCAGATGATGATGAATAGCGCTCTGATAGTCTTCCAATGCTTACCACTGCCTTATGGTAGCAATTGCAACTGCTCTCGCATTTTAGTTTACCGAGGAACGACTCCACTATACTCCATAGGAGACGACATAGCCAACTCCTTCGATCCCTTATCCCACGGGCAAGAACGGAGCGACAATGGAGTGAACGTGGAACTTGCATGGGAAAAGGCAACTAGAATGGTGATCCCTGCCGCGTCGTTCCTAATGCGAGTCAGACCGTCTACCACGTCAGCCTATGACGTGACGCGGTCCATGGCCTAGTTACTCGCCCGTGCGCTAAGCGTTGGGATGCCGCCTCACCTCATCATCCTGGCCCGCCTGTGTGATATCTCATGTGACGCAAACGGGGCGCAACTCTCCCAATAGCGTTGCGCCGCCTATGGAAGTCGAGCATAGGTCTCTATTTACCCTTTGGCCTACAACCAGGGCTATTTGGCTATTTGTTTGTTTGGCTTGTGTGACCAGGCCATTGGCTTGACGCCATAGGCCATGTGTTCATTCAATCTGGTACCCTGTGTCGGTACCAGTTTAGTCCATGCCAGTCAGTCTGCTAGGGGTATAGCCCAACTGCAATCTGTACTTTTGATTATTCTTTATTCACACATTTTGGCATACGTGCGTATTGAGTCTGCGGCAATGCTGCGTTGTGACTTACATCTTCACCGGGTTCACCCTCATCTCCTCGTGCATCCTCATCTCTTCCTCCTCCACAACGACGGGACTGCCATTGCGGGTGTCCCGTTACAGTGGTACCAGAGCGAGAATGGTTGCCGCTCCCACCCATCCCACCTTGCAACAAAGGAACGGTAGCACGACATCTTCAATCCCAGATAGTGGGATTGTCAACAGGGTGCACCAAGGACGTGGGACGAAAGGCTAACACGTGTTAGCACGCATCAAGGTCAGGACCACCACACGCACGCGCCCCCGGCCCGCCTCGCTCCCGAATATATCGAGATCCATAATGCATGTTGTTGCCCAGGATTGAACCTGGGCAGCTGCTCGTCATGCATGTGCATGGCCAGTGCTCTAACACATTGACCACAATCTCATTACGAGCTGAGTATGTGGCATGTTGCACTTCAACAGGAGCCACGCCAACTATTTAGCCCCCCCCCCCCCCCCCATTGGCGAGCAGCGGGCGGCACCGCAGCAACGGTGTGTTGCTATTTGCCCCCCAATGGTTGCTGCTACGGTGCTACCTATGCACGTGACCGTCTGCAGTGCCACGTGGCAACTTGCTGAGGGAATTGAAGACCCCCTTGGATAGGGGACTGAGCTATAGTGACAACCGGGTGCCTGATCAAGATCTTAGCCTACCCTAGATATTTTTTTTACTACATATCTGATGTAGATTATCAAATCTAACTGTTGCAACAACAATTTGTCATCATCTTCAAGACTTTTCCCAACGGGTGTTTGAAGGCCAATATCCAGTGGATCTTGGTATTTTTTATGCTCTTGGCCACCCAAGAGCAGGGTATCATCTCTCCTCTCACTACAACTCTCCCCCGCTCTTTCCCCTCTCTCCCCTCTATCATCTCATCATCTTTCTCTGACCCTACCTCTAACCCCTCACCTTTTCTAACTCTTTTATCCTCTTTTCTCCACTCCTCTCCCCTTGTTCCGACTGCTCTCTCATGTGCCTCACTCTTCACTCACTCTTCACTCATCTTCTACCATCTTTTTCTTTTTTTTTCCTACTCACTCCGCTTCTTCGGACCCACCAGGGATCGAGCAAGGGTAGGTTATAAGATGGGTATAGGGGCTGGAGGGACTAGTAGAGAGGACGCCGATAAAGTGTAGCTCGGGTAGGACTTGTACTGGGCCTATGTCCTGAATGGTAGGTAGGAGAGATGGATCAGGGGGGGGGGGGGGGGGGGGGGGGGGGTAAGGTACACTACATCAATAGGAGGGAGGTAGGCCCTCTATGCCTGTTCGAGTGGGGATTTGCTAAGTCAATGGTTGTGGGACAAAGTTGCTTAGAGTGGGCCCGCAATACATCCAGTTAGAGGTTGGATCTGTAGGGACAAAATCTGATCTCTGGTGGCAAGTTGTATGGTGTGGAAGGGACCCGACTTGCAATAGGACTTAGGGCTCTAAGCCCGTAGAGGACTTCGTCTAGGAAGGTCTAGAGGGTCAAGTGGGTCATTCTGAACTTTGAGTGACTGAACCTCGGAGAGTACTCCCGCACCTTATACCTTGCCTCTACAACAACCTGGCCATTTAAAAAAATTATATATATATATATATATATATATATAGTAGCTTAGCGCCCGCGGTGGGGGTGGTGCGGGCAATGCCCGCACATAAAAGAGCAGAAAGGCTAGTCCATCATGAACACTGTGTTGAGATTTTGCTTCGCAACACACAAACCCGCACCGAGGCCGCTAAGAAAGTATGCCCGCAACCAAAACTACCGAAACAGTAAAGAAAGTACACACAGGGGGCAGGCGGGGGGCCTCTCATTGCACTTGGATCCATATCTTGCTACACCACACACCAAATCCGCACCAAGGCCACTAAGAAGTGCGCATGAATGTTTTTTGTTTACGCCCGCAAAGATAACGACTGTAGTGGTGTGGGCGGTGCTAGCACTGCTCGCACACAAAAAGTTAAAAAGTTAGTCAATCATGTACGTTGTATCAAGGTCTTGCTTCACAAAACACAAACCCACACTGAGGCCGCTAAGAACGTATGCCCTTAACCAAAATTACCGAAACAATAAAGAACGTACTCACAGGGGGCCGGGGGGGAGGGCTATCGGACTTGGATCCATATTTTGCTTCATAACACACAAACCATAAGAAGTGCGCATGAATGTTTTGTTGTTCATATCTGTGTTGCATGCTGTACGCGTACGCGGTGCGTACACGTATGTATTTTCACGTACACGTACGTGACCAGAAATCCGCGTACGCGTACGTGTTTTTTTTTTTTTTTTTCAAAAATATATATATATATGTTATGCCAGGCCCTTCCCTCGGGGGGGGAACACATGTATTTCCAATTTCAGAGCCTTCAAACTTTTACATACACACATACACAGTATTACACACACACACATACACACACACACACACACACACACACACACACACACACACACACACACAAAGTTTGTCTGTCATACAGTTTGATTGTCACATACGGACTGCTTAACAGAGTGAGTAACAGACATGCAAACAGTCAGACATAACAGACAAACAGATAGACGGACAGAAGGATAAACAGGCAGATGGACAGATCGACAGACAACTACCTAAAAACTGACAAATAGACCGACAGACAACTGCGTACACAAAGATTGACAAACCTACAAACATGCATATGGACAGGGTGACAGAATGACGTGGCACATGGACAGGGTGACAGTGACAGACAGACAGACAGACAGGTACACGTGACAGGCTCTTGCAGACAGACAGACTGGCAGACAGACGCACACACACACAGACAACCCAGAGTGACAGACAAACAGACAAGCGAACAAACAGACAAACAAATTGACCACGACACAGCTTGACTAACTGAGAGACTGACAGACTTACCGACAGTTGTACAGCCAGTCAGATAGCCAGAAAGCCAGCCAGCCAGACTGACGGGCAGACACACGGTCACCCCACTGTAACCCCCAACCCCAATCGGGCCAAAAAACGGTCCCGAAAAGGCCCCATGCGACCATGTACGCGGGGCCCTTTTTGACGTACGCGCGCACACTTATGCGGTACATACGCGCGCACGTGCATACGTGTACGAGTGTGCGCGGGGCCCGCGTACGTGTACACCGTGCAACACAGGTTCATATATACTCAGGAAGATATGAATTTATTTTTTTAATTCAAGTAGTGGGGCCCCCGCACCCCC